TCAGGCTTTCAACAGGGTTTGCCACACAGGAGTCACTGACATGGTCCTAAGGGCAGGAAGAAATTGAGGATGGGCAAGTGATGTTTCTGGTTCCCTCAACACCCCAATACAACATGTTGTCTGTTTCCCTGTGCAATAAATGACAGCTCTTGTCAGCCAGCCCCTCCAAGAATAGCTCTCTACTTTCTGTTTTCACTTCTAGGAGTGGTTGCTCTTCCTCACTCTTGGGAACCACTCTATCCTTTATTGGTTTCCCAGAACCCTGATCAGTCTTTGGGAATTGCCCCATTACTAACCTCTCCACAATTTCATGGGCTTGAGTATATCCTGTGCTTTCTTTCAAGACTCTAGCTGATATATCAAGAAGGAAAGAATGACAAAATTTTATTTAAAACTTCTTCATAATAAGACAACCACAGCACCAGCAAGGGAAGGGAGTGGGGGAGACGGGAGGCAAGAAAAAGTCAAACAAGAGGATTTTTGTAATGTCTATAACTGACAGAGAATCGCCATCCCAAATGCAAAAGGAGCTACACATCAATAAGAAAAATTGGGAAGAGATACAAATAGGAAATTCATAGAGGAGGTAAGTAGAATAGGAAAAATCAAAACAAAATAAAACCCCAGGGGATTATAAATTTTCAGTTCCTACACCACCTGTGAGCCTCCTCACGTCTTCTGGGTTCCTGGGCAGCTGTGGGGGGAGAGTTGGCTGGGAGATGGGCACTGGAGACCATCGGGGCAGAGTGCTCTCTTCAGGCTCATCTGGGAATGACAGCAATAGGGCAGTCGCTGGAGGGGTTACAGAGGACGTCACTGGGGGATGAGGTTCAGGATAAGATCCAGGCTGGCGTGGTATTGATGGAATTGAGTTTCACAGTAGTCTGGAAGAGATTGAGGCAAAGAATTATGGGTGGGGACAGGTGGTAGTAAACTTGGTGAGGGCAGGTGGAAGATTGAAGAAGTTCATCCCTGATGGTCTCTTACTCGCTCAAGAGTATGAGGAAAAGATAGATACTGGCAAGGACTGCTGAGGTCCTACTAAGGTGGAGGGTAAGGACGGATGATCTCCTGACTCTGGGGTTCTTCTACACCAAACTGATCTATGCCAACTTGTTCCAAACCGTCCTCTCTACATTTCATCACTCCCTCCCTAAAATCGTAGACTTCTGCCCAACTGGACAACTCATAATTTCCTTTTAAATAAATTGCCTCTAGGGGCACCCCAGTGGCTCAGTCAGTTAAGTGTCCAACTCTTGATTTCAGCTCAGGCCATGATCTCAGGGTTGTGCGATTGAGCCCCGTGTAAGTGTGAAATTCTCTCTTTCCCTCTGCCCCTCCCCTCCACTGGTGCTCTCTCTCTCTCCAAATAAATAAATAAATCTCTAAAAAAAATTTTAAAAATAAAAAAATAAATTGCCTCCATCTAATAATTAGCACACTAAAGTCCTAAAATTCTTCTATTGGAAACCAGGGTTATTTAAAATAATTTGTCGAGTTTTATTGAGACATAACTAACATACAGCACTGTGTAGGTTTAAGATGCACAGCACCTTAAGAATAATAAGAATAGGGGCACCTGGGTGGCTTAGTCGGTTAAGTGCCTGCCTTCAGCCAAGGTCATGATCCCAGAGTCCTGGGATCGAGCCCCAGGAGCCCCGCATCAAGCCCCGGGAGTCCCGCATCGGGCTCACTGCTCCGCGGGGAGCCTGCTTCTCCCTCTCCCTCTGCCTGTCGCTCCCCCTGTTTTTGCGTGCGCGCTGGCTCTCTCTGTCAAATAAATAAATAAAATCTTTTTTAAAAAGAATAATAAGAATATGCTGTAATATTTTTAATCCATTCATCCATCAGTGGACAGAGGTTATTTCCATGTCTTGGCTATTGTAAATAACACTGCTATGAACGTGGGGGTACAGATGTCTCTTTGACAAAGTTTTTTCATTTACCCAGAAGTGGAATTGTGGGATCATGGGGTAGTTCTGTTTTTAATTGTTTGAGGAGCCTCCATGCAGTTTTCCTTAAGTGGCTGCACCAGTTTACTGTCCCACCAACAGTGTGGACAGATCCCTTGTCTCCCCATCCATGCCTGCATTTGTTATCTCTTGTCTTTTTAATGGTGGCCATTCTAACAGGCTTGACATGATATCTCATTGTGGTTTTGATTTGCTTTTCCCTGAGGATTAATGATGTCGAACATCTTGAATGATTTTAAAGCGTTGGAAAAGAGATAATGTAGTGAAACAATTGTTTTTACATATCTTTTTGTGTTAGTTTGGGATAAATCAAGAGGATATGCGAATAAAATAAATACGTATTTTTTCTAACAAAGCGACATAGATTCCTCTTTCAGGATTTTAATAGTCCATATTTCTCCATTTGGAAGTTAGGACTAAGGATTTACAAGTACAACTAGAAAATTAGTTACTTTGCCTGTATTTTGTTATTGGAGCTCTGAATTCAGTTCAGTGCAATGCACACTGTTGAGTACCGGTTAGGTTCAAGGTACTGTGTTTATGACTGGGGAGAGGAAGGAGTTGAATGCAATACAGGAAGCCTCTGACCATGGAAATGTATAATGCTTGTACATAAAACAGCATTATTCCAAGTAATTTCAATCTCCAGTAGTCTGCACTTTTCCTGCAGGCGTAGAGGTAGATGTATGATCTCCAAATAGGTGTGTTTTCCCATCACAACTGACCTTCAGGTTTGCTTAAAGCAATACTGCTCCTCCTGCCTCACCTTTGTTTAATGAGAGCCATTTCCTAATGCCAACGTTGGGTTAATGGACTGAGATGGGAGAAAATCAAACGTATCTCTTCGTTTTACACCAGATTGCCTTTCTGCCTTGTGGCTTTAATCACTCAATCCTACTCACATCTGCCATAATAACAATTACGGCTTTTCTCCTGACTTCTTACCCAGGAGGATATGTCAGAGTAGAGCAACATCTCCTGAAGAAAGGAAGGGCAAATTCTTCATCTCTTTCCAGCATCATAGGTAATAATTTTCCTCTGCAAACCCTCAAGGAGTCTCTCTTCTGGCTTTTCACATCTACTATTCCCACAGGTTCGTGGCTCTGTTCTGATTTATGCATTTTCTTCTATCCTCTTTCTTCTGAGATAAATTTTAATTATGTAGACAGATTGTAAAAGTCTCTTTCTTCTTGTAAACAGCTATTTCTCTGTTAGTACTGGATTTTGTTTAACTGGTTTCTCCTAACTGAATCTTCCTGTGCACCCAGGAATTATGTCTGTTCGTTGTTTAACTGCACCATCAAGACAAGAGAAAGCTGGCTTCTTGTAGTTTCCCTTGAGGGACCCAATCTTGGAACACCTCATATTGCAGCTCTCTCTCAGGAACTGTTCTTTGTCGCATATGTTTGGAAAGCCCATAAGATTTTAGCTTTGAATCAATATAAGAGCAAAGCACCACCCATCAAATAACAGTATGATGATACTCTCAGTTTTTCTACTTATTTAAAAACTTACTCTACTAGCAAAATCAAGAAAATGCTTGAAATGCTCAAAAGCCCTCATGAAAAACTGTGGCCCCTTCCTCAGGTGACTCAGACAAGTGGATTCTAGAAAACTCCTCAGGTAATTCTAACAATCACTGCTCTTCTCTGGCCCCTTCTGGGTAATAATTAAAATATAAAGAAAAAATGTATTTATATCATGACTTCTTTTGTTGTTCTGCATACACACTTTTAACTCTTTGTTGGATTTGTGTTTTTTTTTTTTTAAGATTTAGTTTATTTATTTGAGAGAAAAAGCACAAGTGTGTAGAGGGGCAGAGGGAGAGGGAAAAGCAGACTCTCTGCTGAGCAGGGAGCCCGATGCGGGATTCATCTCAGGACCCTGGGATCATGACCTGAGACGAAGGCAGATGCTCAACTGACTGAGTCACTCAGGGGCCCTCACCAAACACCTCTTAAAAAGGCTAAATCAATATTCTCCCAGAAGTTTTTGACGCACATTTGGAGAAAAAAGAGAGATCATTTTTAGACACAGCAGTGCATGTGATGTCCTCACAGTGAGAAAACATTCAGCTCATCCAAAAAGGAGGTGTGGTCTGTGGCCAAAGAACAGAGCCAAGGTCTTTGGCCTGTGTTAGATAAAAGCCATGACCTTGGCCTCATTAGCAGGACTATGTGAGCTCACCATGCAGGTGACTGTGTATTTACGTGGCAGTTCATGGGAAGCAGGGCTTCTTAACTTGGGTTCCAGTGACAATAGCTAAGCATCCTGCTCTTTATGCAAGATTTTGTGTGTGTTTATATTTGTCTAAGAGGGTTTGCATTTTCATTAGATTCTCGAACGTGGATGTGACTTACAAAAAGTAAAAGGGTAAGATTACACTAAATGAGATTGTTCTAAAACAAAGTCATTTCAATATTTCTTTAAGCCTTTCATTACGGAGGTAGTTTTCTGTAATCTGAGGTTGATTTCTGTACTCCCATGTTCTTATGGGAGAAGCCCTTTAAATCTGACCTTTTAATATTTATCCTTTTGTGCATTGGAGGGATTGTAAATGTACCCTTTCAGTTGGAGAAATCTATTACTTTTACATGAGAGGGAAATGATAGATTGAACCCTCCATTTTTATATATTTTTCAGTCAGGAAGTGATTTTCCCCCTTTATTCTATAAACATGTTTTTCAAAACTCCTTCAACAATCTACTCTGATAGTCTTCTTTCCCCTCACAATCATTTAAAGTAACCCGAACCTGCTTTACTCTTTCCAGCATAGGGTGGCTTAAGTCTGGCTATATTGCACCTAATTAAATGTGAGGGTGTTACTTATTAATGGTAGGATAATACATTCCTAAGTTTATGATAGAAAATTGCCATTCTAGGGACAATCTCCTACAGTCCCCTTCTGTCTTCAGAGTGTTCCAGTTCACCTACGTCTTCACTAGCATTGATATGCTGCATATTTATGTTGTATTGGGAAAGAAATGTCATCAGCAAGGTACAATGTGGATTTTTAAAAAATTCTAGGTTACTTCATGGAAGGAGTGCTTAATAGAACAAGACAGGACCAAAGCTCTACGGAAAAACAAATCATGTGGTCTTCAGAAATGAGGAGAAAGGCAGCCATCTGAAATGGTCATGAACCCCAAACAAGTCTTCCTCTCGGTGCTCATTTTTGGAGTAGCAGGGCTTCTCCTCTTCATGTATTTACAAGTCTGGATTGAAGAACAGCATACAGGTAATAATTCTTTTTTTCTATTTTACTTGTAATGGTCATTTTCAATGAAACAAGCTGTAGTGTTTACAGAACTATAGAATGTCACAGTATTTCCAACAACAACAAAAAATAGACACAAACTATAATCCCCAGCTCCTAAAAGAAAGGACGATTATGCAGTTCTTGTGGGCATTTGTTCCGTGGACGGGACAACACTTGGAATTTTTATTGTATCAGTGGGGAAACAGCATGGCCCATTAGCCCAGCAAGGCCGCTTGTTAGAGAATTTGTCTACTCAAATGTGTAGCATGTGTCCTACCACTGATATGCATTGGGCACAAATCTAAAGGGAAATAAATATACAACTAAATATCTCCTTTAATTCCTTTTTGATTTTTGTGTCAGTACTCAAAATTGGCATGGAAATTCTATAATGCCTTTTCTATGAAGCAAGAGTACACAAACCTTGTCTGTAAAAGATTAGATAGAAAATATTTTAGGTTTTGTAGACCCTACCATTTCTAACACAGCTACTCAACCCTGCCAACGTATCACATGAACAGCCATAGATTATATGTAAACAAACAGACCTGGCTGTGTTCAATAAAACTTTATTTACAAAAACAAATATTGGGCTGGATTGGTCCACAAGCAGTAGTTTGCCAATTCCTTCTATACTCGTACTTTCATCATTCTAGTTTGCTGTTGCCATACATTCAAAACACTCAATTACTGTTAAAATGGATTATGTTTATAATGATTAAAGGAAATGTCTTAGAACATCACAGAAATATATACATATATGTGTTGTGAAAATCAATTGTTTTCCATGAGTAGAAATAGCCAATGGCTTATGACTCTTAAGGAAAATAAAGTAAAAACAGAAGAACAGTTTCTTAATTGCTTCCAATTGTGGCCTATTTTTAAATCACTCTAGATATTAAACCCTATTCTGAGGGGTGCCTGGGTGACTCAGTCAGTTAAGCCTCCGACTCTTGATTTTGGCTCAGGGTCGTGGGATCAAGCCCCGCATCAGGCTTCTTGCTCAGCATGGAGTCTGCATGTCCCTCTCCCTCTGCTCCTCCCCCTGCTCTCTCTCTCTCAAATAAATAAATAAAATCTTAAAAAAAAACTACTCTGAAAGATAATTCAATACTGAGTCACAAATACAATAATTTTTAAAGTTGTTTCCGTTTCTAAATCCCTTTCCTTGGATTATCCTCATATACACCTTAGATTTATTTAATTTATATAATAACTCCTGTGAAAAGAATTTGCATATAACTATTTTCTAGAGGATATGTAACATTGTCAAAACTTATTCTTAATTCCTATAAGTTACATGAACTGTAATATTTTCTAAGTTTGCTATATTACTATAGTAATTTATCATAACATAATATTTCATGAAACCATCTATAATAAAATACAGAGGCTGATTTCTCTTGCAGTGGAGATCTTGTCACATAGTAAGCTCTCGGTGTTTATTGAATGAGGGATAAAAAGGTGAATAAATAGATTGAAAACCCATTGCAGACTACAGACTGGAATGCAGCAAAAGAGGAAGAATCAGAGATCTCATCACTGGGTCGTTTGCTAATTCCATAGCCTCATAACAAAGTTCACAAGGGAAGTATCACAACAGGGTTCCAATCTATAAAAGAAAATATATCCGTATATACAAAACTCTGGGAGAAATGTAATGGTGTGATATTCTAAGTTTATAGATGAGAAAGCTGAGGCTTGGGTAGGCAAGGAACTTACCCCAACCTCACGTGTGCAGGTCTAGGTGTAGAAGGAAGGCTCTGGTTGTGTCTGTGCAAAGTCCATGTTGTAATATCAGTCTGGATACTGACTTGTAAACCTAAGCTATTCACAAGTTCATAAATGTGTAACCTCTTCTGCAAGTTGGATTCTTAATTGAGTTCCTAATTTTTGCAAGGTGGGAAATTATTTTCCCCAGTTACGATGGGCTTGTACTATAATAATATACTATAACTTAAATTGTATTTGTACTAATAATATACTATAACTTAAATTGTATTTGTAATTTGCTAGTACTTTCTCTGATTCTCTGTATGTCTTAAATAAATTGTATAATATTTCACAATCTACTCATGATAGTGAGTGTAAATGTTAGAACCAAGATTCCTTTAGATAACTATCTTACTGAAGAAACATTTTATTATTTTTATTATTTTTCGATAAGACTTCCATCTGGACTTCTGCCTTATCCCAGACTAGTGCCCTGGGTTGTAATTCTCTAGTTTTCCAGGTAGACCGGTACATGTGTATTTTTATATGTGTTTTAGATAACATCAGAAGCATCAGTCATTTTTACAGGAAGTTTCTTTTTAAATCAGAAAATATCTGAATGTGTGCTTTGATGTTAAGTTAAAAATGAAAATTTTGTCTTTTGGACATTTTAGAACTGTCACTCAAAGAACTGTGGAGGATGAGTTTATTTTGGTTCCTGAGACCCTCTGTAAATAGAGCAGATTTTAAAAACTCTGAATGGTTTTTGATCTCATATACATTTCAGTTGTGTATGAGAACTCTTAGGTTCTTTTCATACCCTGTATTTGAGACCTTTAAAATCTAATAAGATCTGGGCTATTTTCTAAGAAGCCTTTCTAGTTTTCCTGGGTTCTTCTGTTAAAATAAAATGCTTTAGAGTTACAAAAAAATCTTAAATATGCTCCGATATGCTAGTAAAGATTATGAATAGACAAAATTTTTGGAGGTGAAGAGGAAAAATATGTAACAAAGAAAATAAAATCTATCTAGTTATACAACAGAGAGCTCTATAATAACACCCATTTTGCAGTACCACACCAATTAAATTATGCATTTCTTTATGCTAATGTGGATGTATTATTATGAATTTTATTTTATAAATCTTTTCCCCTAAGTTGTTAAGAATGCAAGTTTCATATTCAAAAGAATCTTGAAAATCTCAGCTCTACTTTTAGCTGTGTGACCCTGGGCAAGTCACTTAGCCTCTCTGTGCTGCAATTTCCTCATCTGTAAAATGGGGATTACAATGTTTTCCATGTAGGGTGGCAGGGAGGACTAAAGGAGACTTAGCATGATGCCTGGCAAGTAGTAGGGAACAATGAATGTGAACTGTTATTCTGGAAATGATGCAGAACATCTGAGGACTAGGTTTTTTGGAGTTATCATTACTAAGACAGCCACAATTCAGGAAAACAATCTTAAGCTTGGGCCTTGCATGATTTAAAAAAACAAAAAAAGGGCTCAGTACCAACTCCAGTTAAAACAGGACAGTCTAACTGGCACAGAGCCAGCGTGTTTCACAGTGTAGGAATTGGAAGGAGGATGATCCAGTTGAGTGCAGAGAGGAGAGTTGGTGTCCAAAGGATCTCTGGTCTAGGCAGGGTGCCTCCAAGGTCAGGGTATCCGTTCATTCAATAGCATTTTCTAAAGACTTAACGATCGTAGGTGCCACACTGGTGAATACCCAGCTATAGTCGGGAACCAGCTAGAACCCCCGTTCTCAAGGCAACTCAAGTCTCATGGACTGTAAGGGAGAAAATGGCCTTGAGTTCAGGCCAAGGTGCTGGTACAAAAGGACAGTCCATTGTGACAGAAGAGACGGGCCCTCCAGGATGCTGCACAATAATGAGTTGGGACCGGAAGAAGGGGCCCAATCGGTCGTCAGTGATGGCATTGCTGAGCTGATGGTAGAAGCGCTGGGTATGGTGTGTGTTGGGGGCGGGGGAGGGGGGCAGGATTAGCAGGCACAGAGCACCAGAGCAGAACAGATACATCTACCGGAAATATGCGCTAATGGTGAAGACCAATTCAGGATAAATCACAAGAATGGGTCACTTTTCCCCAGCGACTGTTGAAATTTGCAATTTGGTGCCCTCTTCCTCCAGGTAGAAGGTTAGTGCTAAAGAGAACAAATACCAAAAGGTGTGATACATAAGTGTTTGCTACGTGCAGGAGGACGTGGTGAGGACCCTATCCTAATAGGGTCAGAATCTCAACTTTAGAAAAGAATGTATAGATCATCTTGTACACCATCTAATTTTTTAAAAATATAAGTCAATTATATCACTCTCTTGTTTAAAATGTTTCAGTTATATCTCATTCTTTTCAACAAAAACTTCTCCCTGGGACGCACAGAGCTGTGTGAGGTGTAGCTCTGCCTGCCTCCACAGCCTCACCCTCTTTTCCCTCAAAGTGCTTCCCGGCGTCACCCCTGGTCTCTCAGCAAACCAAACCCTTTGCTGGCTCAGAGCTCTCAACTCTCACTGTTTCAGAAGCCGGGATGTTCTTCTCCCAACTCTCACCTGTCCCGCCTTAGCTCAGATGTCACCTGCTTTGATCAAAGCAGCCAATCAGCCAAGCACCCCATAGCCAATCAAGTCAGTACCCCCATCTTATTCATTTCCATCACCGAAATGTTCCTAATCAGCAACTGCCTTGTTTTAGTATTTGTTCTCGTGTTTATTGTCTGCATCGGGTGCTGTTTTACAAGTTCTGTGAAAACAGGGACCTTGCCTGTCTTACCTACCTTGGTGTCCCCATTCCACAGCATGGAACACGCATGTGGTAGGTGCTCAATAGTGTTGGTGTATGGGCGGATACCTAATGCTTCTTTTGGTTTTTCAGCATCCAGCGAAATGACTACATAGACTGTGTTTGAATATTTCTGGGGGCAAAGAATCCACTACTCCTCCAGGCATGCCCTCAACTTTATAGCCACCTCCTTGGAAAGTTCCATATGTTAAGCCAGAACTTGCCTCCCTAAATTATGCTTACTCATCCTAGCTGTGTTCCTGGCACTGGCTCACTCTTCTTCCATAGCATGGCCAGATCATTTTCATGACAAATGAAACCCCAGCTTTTTTAACCATTTTTGTGAGAAAATGATCCAGGTCCCTCTCCTTTGAACCACTAACACTTACCCTTTATCTCTTTTAAAATATGATGTATGTTATTCTTGTATGAAACCTGTGTTAGAAATGTACACCTTTAATAAAATCCCTCGT